TTCCATTCAATGCAATGTATTTTTATATAGCCCTAAATCCCAACGGTAGTTATCTTAGAGGACTTTACAAAACCCTTTGATTCGTCAACACAGATTAGAGAATCAAACAGTTAATACACAAAACACATAGAGTCACTGGTCCATAAGGGTGGAACGGAGCTTTGGGCCAAGAGCCAACTTTTGGACCATCCTGTAAAGACGTTTTCGAGAGGTAAGAAGATGTTAGCATTGGCTAATTCTTATTCCGGGTCCACCCCCATCGGCCCGGAATGATATTGCAAGTATGTCAGCGCACATTATTTTGGCCACTTTTGAGCCTTGACCCGCCCCCACTGCTATCAACAGACCAGCGTCACAAAGCGCTTTACATTTGTTGTGGACATTTGTCTCTCGCTCCACACAGAGATGAGAGTGTGGTCGCCAGTACAGGAGGTACTTGCCAGCTCTATTGTACATGTTTTTAGTGGTAGGGGAAACCGGAGCACCTGGAGAAAACCTATGCAGACAAGGGGAAAACATGCAAACTCCACTCAGAAATCCATATTCCATCCCAGGACCTTCTTGCTGAGAGGCGAGAGTGCTAAACGCAGACAAAACTGAAATGATTGTCTTTGGTTCCCAGAAACAAAGAGAGAGCGTCATCTGTCATTCCAGTCTCTGTCCCTAAAACCTTCAAACAAGGTCAGAAATCTAGGGGTAATACTGGACTTAAATTTTAATAGCCACATCAAATCAGTAACATCAGCAGCTTTTTACCATCTAAAAAACATTGCCAGGATCAAAAACATAGTGTCTAAAGCAGACTTGGAGATTCTTATCCATGCATTTGTCTCCAGTAGGTTAGACTACTGCAATGGCCTGCTCACAGGTCTGTCCAAACAGGCTGTAAAACAGCTGCAGTACATTCAAAATGCAGCAGCTCGAGTCCTGACAAGAACCAGGAAGTACGACCATATTAGTCCAGAGCTCAGGTCTCTGCACTGGCTTCCTGTGGCTCAGAGAATAGACTTTAAAACAGCTCTGCTTGTGTACAAGTCTCTCCATGGCCTCGCACCAAAATATATTAGTGACATGTTAGTCCCATATGAACCAGCCCGGACTCTGAGGAGCACAGGGACTGGACTCCTGTTATTGCCCAGAGTCAGAACTAAACATGGGGAGGCAGCTTTTCAGATTCATGCTGCTAAAATCTGGAACAGTCTTCCTGAAGATGTGAGACAGGCCTCCTCTCTGAGAATGTTTAAAACCAGGCTAGAAACAGTGTTGTTTAGCTGTGCATGCAACTGAGGGATTTTATATTTTTATCTTTCTTTTTAATGTTCTGTGATTATTTATGATTTTAATGCTTTCTTACTTTGTTCAGCACTTTGAATTGCCTTGTGTATGAATTGTGCTATATAAATAAACTATATAAATAAACTTGCCTTGCCTATCCACTCACCCAATAATACAAAATACTGTATATCTTGCACTTTTTGCACATTCCCTCTTTGCACTATTCCTGTTTTTGCACGTCCTGAGTGATACTTTTAATGCCAAATGTGACATGTACATTTCTCCATTGTGAGATCAATAAAGTCTATCATATCTAAACTATAAAAACTATCCTTTTATCACTAGCAATAACAATTTGTGATAAATGATGAAAAGATGCAGTTGTACACTATCAATGTATATTATTCAAAACTCACACAGTAATGCAGGTATTCAAGTCAGTATTCTGAAATTGTGCAAAGCATTGACCAACGCTGTCGTCATAAATGTCACAAAAAGAGCAGTTGGAATAATAATCCTGCTTTGTTCTATCGTTTATGAATTACTTTCCAATTTAAAAATGATCCGGCTGCACGGAAAAACCAAACGAAAGGATAACAAGAGAAAAATCAATTTCAAAAAGTTGAAAGAAATAATTGAGCCAATATTCATTTTCATATTCGCTTCCAAAAAACTCGTCTCGCACGCCTTGCACACACGATTTTTTCTTTTCTTTTAATTAACCTTTATTTAACCAGGAAAGTCCCATTGAGATTAGGAACCTGTCTTTCAATGGAGTCCTGGACAAAAGTTACACACAGTTACATACAATTACAGATTATAAAAACGTTTACACACCATTTCATACAATCACAGATAATAAAAACAGTTACATGTCAATGAGGACGTCTCAAGTCTCAAGTGCTCACAATCTGGATTAAAAAAAAATCCAGTCTTTTTTCCCAGTTCTGTGCGGGTAAAAGGAACAGCGAGCAACAGAAATTAATTTGACCGCAAACTGTGAGAATCAATATCTATGTGAGTAAATGGCAGATGTAAGAGGGCAGTATCAAGCATTGCCTTACAAACAAAAGAGCACCAGTGTCCAAACCTCCTGGTGGACAAAGAAGGCCATTCCATTCCACAATATATTTCACAGTGCTGAGTTTACCACAGTATACATGGGTCTGTTCAGCAGGAACGTACACTCAGTCAGGACCTGGGGCTCCGCTGGCTCCTTGGGCTCCAGGTTCCAGGCAGCATGCAGCACGGACGCGCCCGTTATCAGAGCTTCTTTTTGGGCCGGGCCTGGCGGGAGACGGCCCTGTTCAATGGCGGGCGCTACAGATAGCCACCAATCAGAGGCAGCAGAGCACCATAGCCCTGCAATAGATTGTGTGTGAGCGTGTGTGTGTGTTCGTGTGTGTGTTTGAGCATGGATGCTGTGTCTGTGCTGGCTTATCTTAAACAATGTAAATAGAGGGATAGTGTGAGGGGAGGGGGCAATGGGAATGGAACGATAACTAAAAGCCCTGGATCCAACTTTTATTGTCTTGAAAATAACTATGATGCATTCTTTGAGTTCATTTTGGCCGTTGTATATGATAAAAAATATAGATTCGACACTTCTGGTTTTGCTCCCATTTCTCATGAGCTGAAGAAAAATAGCTTTTGTGACTCATTTTACTGTACATACACCTCAAATCTTTGCCTCAGGTTAGCCACTATAAAAAGGCTAAGCTAACAAGGGTAAACAAGGATTTCTTTTTTCGGGGTCTAGGGGAATCAGAAAACCTTTCGACCTTTCCTTTTCTTATGCAGTGTAAGACATCTTCTTCACAGAGTTGATCAGATTGTTTATTGTGGCCAGTGGAATGTTGCTCTACTCTGTCTTCATTAACTGTGGGAAGTTGCTGGATATTGACAGGAGCTGGAACACACTGTTGTATACGGCGATCCACAGAAACTCAGATGTCTGTGCAAGAAGTGGGGTGTTCCAGCTTACACATAAATCTTTTGTGTGTGTGTGTGTATAGAATGAAATGAATATGAATATCCAAGTAATACAATATACAATCGCTAAAAAAAATCATTCTCAATTAGTGAAACTTCCCCATCTACAAGTATAAATTAACCTGGCAAAAGCCAGATTGATGATTGTGTAGAACTCTAACGCGTTCTCCGCGATATCAATCTGGGATTTCTCCCGGAGAATCCTTTCGGGGAAAGGAGGGGTAAGCAGCAGAATAGTTGAAGCTGATTGGGCGAAGTGACGCTGTGTGCCCGCCTACCAAGGTTGCCGTCCAGAAATGTACAAAGCGCCTCTCGCTGTTCATCTTTCAAAAAAGAAATTGGAGATTCTGCTAAAAATGACTTTGCGTCCGTCCTCCTGCGTAGCCATGTTTGTTTTGCTTCGGCCCGGCACTTCTTGCTTTCGTCAAACCCGGATATCCCGCCCTAAACCCCCAGACTGGCGCGTGATTGGCTCGCACACCCAGTGGTTCGACTCGAAAAGTGTAAGCGGGAGCGGTACAAGATGTATTCTCGAGTGTTTGTGAACTCACAAATACCGCGAGAATTCAGCTTGCAGGCAAGGTTAAGTATAAATATGATAAATAGGAAAATTGTATGTACATGTTCATTATGCACATTCAATTGTGAATAATAGGCATTCAACATGGAGTGATGTTATTGAAGACATAAGGAAACGTGTGTTTGACTGAAGTAAATACCAACTCTAATAGACTAAATAGACTTCATTGATCGCCGTATGATTCAGGACCCCAGCCGCAGATTCTTGTACAGATACTTGTACTTTTGTATTTCTTTTTCAAAGGCATTCTATTCTATTTTTCACACCATAAAGAATTTGCCCTATTAGTGTGGAGGGAGCTAAAGTCAACAGTGTTTTTGATGAGGGCACAATCTTGTAACATAGCATACCTGAACTAAGCTGCTTTTATTTCTATTTTTTAGGATAGTGAAAAGCAAAATTGGTCCAGACACAGTTTTCACACGAACCATCACATCCAACTTTCGCAACACAATGAGATCAGAAGCACTTTTCACAGTTTGTAAAGCACCTGCTCGGAGACTATAAGTTAGCGCTCCTGCTGCAACCTGGTAAAATCTTTTCTCTCCTTTTGACTGATGTCTAATATCCAGTCGTAACACACCATTTTTCATTCTTTACTGTCCGAACAAAGCAGACGGATTTTTTTTGCTTTTCATAACATTGTTTTGGATCATTATTGAGATAGCTAATGTTCCAAATAGGCTCCACAGGTGTCATGGATTTTCACTTTGCAGCAGGCAGAAGATGTTATGTTTTTTATTATTCACAAAGAGCTACTGGCAAATGATAATCTGGAAGGTTTGACATGAATCATCCAACAAAAACATGTTTCCTTTGAATGAATTTAAAGCTATAGCAAAGCTTCGTAGAGGGCAAAAGCAAAATGCAGTCACCTCTCAGCTGCTACGATTTATGTGCAAAACATTACTCCAAAGACACACACACACACACGCACACACAGACACTAACCCACAATACACACATATTTATGACAGTGTGGGAATATCGCCGGCTCCTCGGTTATCAATGTTTCCCTTTTGATGGATGACTTTTATTGTAATTATTTATCGAAAGCCAGCCACGCGATAATTAGAAGAGGTCCGGCAGGGAGGAAAGTGCTGATCCGCGGGGAATTCCGAGGAGCTGAAGGTGATAAAGTTCACAGTTCTGTTCAGAAATCCGTGTCAGCGAACGAGGAATCGATGATCACGCCTAATGGCATACTAATGACGAGGCTGCGGATCTGAAGCCAGCCAGCCAGCAAAGAGCTACAACTGATCAAGGAGGAGGAGAGATGGAGCGAATCAAGGATAGATGGACTGGAGCGAAGGATACAAAACAAAGGGAAAGAACAAAATCATAATCGTGAGGGATGAAAGGAAAAAAGGATACAAGAACACAAGGGAACACGCAATGGATGAAGGTTGGAAAGAACATGAAAGACATTGGCGTTTGTTCACGAGGCCAATGGTTGGTTGGTTCAATGGTGTTTTTGTGCTGGTAAAATGATAAAGCCACCAGGGATTTAAAAAAGAAGCTTGAATAGATGGGAGTATTGGCAAATAGACCAAAGCGTTTGTCGTATGATCCCAGCTGTGATGTTCTGTTGTGTGCTGAGACTAAAGCCCAATTTACACCAAGGAATATGTCCAATGTAAAGTTAGAAAGAGTTCAATTCATTCAGAAGATGCTCATTCATGCCTTGTTCCGTCTTCCCCTGTGGTGATAATGGTGATATGCGACGTCCATGCATAAAATATAGACCCCCGACCTGATTTGTAAATTTCTCCATTGTGAGGAGATCAATCAATTTGATCTTATCTTATCTTATTTCAGAGCTAGAAGGAGTCGAATAACATATTATGCAGCTATAGAAGTGCATCTCAGCTGTTGGAGACTTACAGAGAAAAAACCCAATTGTTTTTATTTTTTATCACCTGTACATGTTTATCCATATATTTCATGAAAATACGTTCTGAAATAAGACATATTAGTGAGTTATTCTTATCGCCCCCTTCACGTTTTGTTTTACTTTATTTATTTATGGTAATTTTATTTTTGTTATTAATGTTAATTTTGAATGTTGGTATTTTATTTTAATTTGTTTTTTCTTTTTTTAATCACCCCCCTCCCCTCTTGTCTCCCCCACCTTCTCCTCCCCTGTATAATAAAAACATAATAAATATTTCAGTCTGATGCAAAACATGTCATCTTTAAGACAAGAATTTCAGCACCAGCTCCAACCAGAATGCAGTGGGGAAGCAGGGCGTCCACCTCTTTCTAACCCTAACCCTAAAATATAGTACATTTTGAGAAACACGTTTAACTGGGATATGCAGGATAAGCAATCTGACACAAATCTGTAGTTATTGCGAAGACGCTTAAAGACGCTTGCTCTGGAATGAGGATGAAAGAAAAACCATTTGCAGTCTGAACACAACACACTAGTTCCACTCTGCTGTCTTTATATTTACTAATTTCTCTCAGGCTTAATTATTTTCAACCACGGTGACGGTTTTCCTCTCAACCGCTGCTGTCATGGAAATGAAAAATCACAGTCTCACGCCGAGCCAGCACAAACACAGTGCATTGAGAGTGCATAACCAGGGAGAGTATTTTTACATTAAATTGCTGAATTAACAGATGTAGGGAGCTGAATTTCTAATGAGGAGAGAAAAGAAACAAAGTAGTTTATAGTGAGTAGTTCTCACATTCAGTTTAAAGGGCAAAATACAGCTCAAATATGCTCCATTATGAGTGTAAAAAGGAAGTACGAGAAGGCTAAAAGGTTGATCAATTTCCGTGTGTAAAAGTCATAATTGCATTGTGCATGTTTATTTTACATCTCTGGCAATGAGAAGAAAAAAATATACAGTTATACTGTATATATTAAAAATATATAATGGACAACAGCGAGTTTATCATCCACATGGAGCAATCTCACACTCATCTTTTACAAGGACAACTTTTTAAAGGAAAGAGCAGCACACACAAAAGCCCAAACTCTGGAGTACGAGCTGAACACACTTTGGCAAAGAGACTAGGTCACAAGGCGGGTTCAATGGCAATATGTTCGGACACACCAGCCCATGTCTCTCAGTCTGACAGAAAGACCTGGGGGTTTGGTGAAGAGTGGGCAGCTTCACGTGTGTGAAATGTTGGTCTCTATCATATCTATAGATTAGTCTGACAGGAAAACCACCATCACTCAGCCAATCAACAATGCAAAAGATAATCATTGTAAAGATTCTCAAGTTATTACAAGATTACGGCTTAGTCTCCACACCTCCTGGTGAACCCTAGCTCAGCCAGTCCAATATCGCTCAAACAAAGACGTCTCCATTACATACATATTGCTCTCGTCGATACGAATGCGGAGCTCTGGGCCGCTTCGCTGGATGACCCTCTCCTTCTGTGGCCGCTCCATCACGTTGTAAATGTCATCGCAGAGCCGCCATCTTTCATCCTGACTGAGCCCCATCCATCACCGCTAATTACGCCTCTGAACGAACGCACTGGAAGGTTAAACCACGCACGGCCAAATGAAAGATATACGAGGAGGTATTTTTAAACATTGGCGTCAAGGTAACGCAAATGATTCAAAACTTTCGGTTCGGAGACTTCCATCAGGGACCATCAATGTGATCACTATTATTAAACATTAAAGCTGGGGAACTTTTTAGTTTGTTTCAACAGAAAGTAGTAAAAAAAAAGTAAAATATACTGAACAAAAAATTGTATCATATTTGATCTTTTGCATGTTTGTAAGAAAGAACCCTGTGAGTCGCTTTTGGACTCTTTGGATTGAGGACCCATGGACTGTGTGAGAGTGGTACTTTCCATTTTCTGTCTTAAAAAGCTGATAAAATGACCCAAACTGTTTTCACAGCAAGAGACTAGTTACATCAGGTACAGTGGACCCTCGTTTATCGCTGGGGTTAGGTTTTAGAAAATACAAAACCGCAAAAGGAGCAACCCTCATCACACACTACACACACACTTCATACACTTTTCTAACCTGAACTCTCGACTGCTGAGGTGTGATCACAGATATTGTTTGCTTTTGTAGGTCATTTACTGTGACCATGTAGTCCTCTGAACTTATCACTGTGGTGCACACAAACCACAAAAGTGTTCTGGTGACTTTAGATAAAGATAACTATACTTGCAGTTGTGTGACGTTGTATATGTTGTTGGAGTATACACGAGAGAAGCACACTGCAAAAAAAGCATGGGCAAAATAAAATGCTTACATTGTTTTAAGTGGCTTACATAAAAGGTTTTAATTTCCTAAGTAATAAGTATATGATATATTTCTTTAGCAATAGAAAGTAATTATTATTATTATCATTATTCAAGATCATGTTAAAGGGCAGTGCAGTATGTTTCTGTTAGTAACACAGGGATAGTATAAGCAGTATTTCCTGATCTGCAGTTAGAGGACTGGACCTGGCTGGATTTCAGGTTTCTTGTACACTAGCCAACAGAATAAATGTATTTAGTCTGGAGATCAGATTACATTTAGCTTCACTTGAAACAGAACACTGGGCAGTACACGAAATCCAATAATGACGGTAAATATAGATACGCAAAGTGGCTGAAGGATACTTTCATTTCATAACCAGTACATAAAAACATTTCCAGTCGTGATTATGTGTACGATAAGCTGAACAGAGTACAAGACCCAGACTGTCCCGGACTCTGAAGGAGCATTTAGGCCTCAGCAGCAGCACCCATGGGACCAGCTCCACTTGTTTTTTCTGAAGCCCACACTTTTAGACATAGAAGACCACAAATTGGGGCTAACAGTAGTCCAGGGTTCAAATCCCAGTTAGAACAGGGTATTTCTGAGTGGCGTTTGCATGTTCTCTCCTTGTCTGCTTGGATTTTTTTTGTGCGCTCTTGTTTCCCTGACCACTAAAAACACGCACATTGGCCAAACGACTCATCCAAGTGGCATTACAGGATGGGTCAAAGTTCCGAATGAATAAAGTGTACATATATTTATTCATAAATACCAAGAATAGGGCAGCAGTCTTAGCAAAAGTCTGGGCGTCTATGCTCAGACTGCTGCCCCCGCGACCCAGCAACGGATGAAGCGGAAGAAAATGGATGTGTGGATGGATAGATTTGATACTGTATAATCTCACGCAGTTTGCCCATAATGCACTGGAGGGCACTAGAGAGTAACACACAGTACCTAAAACATGTTAAATCTGTACGTCAAACAGTTGCTGTCTAAACTTTAATTTTGAGATAATTGATTTGTTTTGTGATGAAGTCGTACCCTGTCACTGGCGCGAGGGCGGGGCTTAGTGTGAAAAGGCGGGAAAACTTCTGATTGGATCATTTGTATCAAAAACAAGGAGAGGTGGACATCTATCAAATCGACTAAGAACAACATATTGAACAGTATGAGAAGGCCCAGGCTTGATATTAACCAAGTCTCTCCTACATTAAGAAGTTTATCATGGATGGAAGAAAACATTTTAAAACTTTGGGTAAAAATAAAGCACTGAAGTGTATGTAAAAGTTTGAATAACCTTAAATTACATTCCATACAAATAGTCGAATCAACAACTTCCCAATTACATACGTCTAAAGTGGCCAAGTTCCCAGTATGCAGGCCTCATTATGAGTTCAGTCGCCTCTTCTCAGAACTGTGGCCTCTTTATTTTTGCTGTGATGACAATGTGCGGCCGCTCACTGTTTTATGCACTCACTGTCGTTTGGCTAATGAGCCCATAAACACACACCTAACTACAAATTGCAAATGTACCAACTCTATAATGACTCATATATATCTGCAGATGAGACGGTGCAGAGAGGATGTCAACAACTGAGCAGGATATGACCAAGTCTGCTGCAAAATTAATCATTCGCTCTATTTGCGCCTCATTTCTCCTGGTGACTTCAGTACACCTGGTATTTTAGAAGTGTTTTGTTTTTGATTTCTGCAACAATAACCAAAAAGGTAATACACAGTTTTTTTGTTCCTGCAGGGAAATTTGTCTTCCAATGCCATATTAAAGTCAATCTGTCTGTTCCCTACAGTGCAGCGCCGCCTTTGCTTGAAGATTTTACCCATGGTGCTGGTTTGAGTGATGGGGAAACCATAGCGCACGAAGGAAACCCAGCCAAACACAGGGAGAACATGCAAACTGCACCTTCTTTCTGCGAGAAAAAGGGAACTCGAAAGAGCTTTGGAAGTCTTCATCCAAAAGGGAAAAACATCTTCTGTTTATATGGAGCACTGATTAAAGTTTCACGATTCAAGAATTTATTTGCCATTTCCAGTAAAAACCACATTGGAAAAACTGCAAGACTTCTGCAAGACAGTACACACCAGCCCTCCTGCTCCTAAATGTACCCCTCTTCCAGTTTACTAGTTCAGCTCTTGTTTTGTGGAGTTCTGACTGAAGTCTCTCACTTTTAGTTGTTTTTAAGTATTTTACTCGTACAAAAAAAAAAATCCCTTGATGGCTGATGGACCAGATTTACTGTATCTATGTCCAGCTCTATCTCTGCTGTGATCACAGTCTCTGCACATGTTAGAGTCAGTGGACAATTTGAAGTCGCAACTTCAGACTTTGTTTTGGCAGGCTTTCTTGCCTCACTGTACATAGGTCCATCTGAAGTGCGCTTATGATTATTCTGCATTTTCGTTTTTTGAAACTGATGTGTACTATTTTTTGTGTTATAATTGTGAAGCGCTTTGTGATTCTGGTCTGTGAAGGACGCTTTATAGATAAACTTTAGCCACTTTAAAAAACTTACTTACTTGGACCATGAGATTTTACCTGGTCCACAGTCTTTCTGGACCAGGTAAAATCTCATGGATAATTGCAAGCTGTCAAAGACTGTCATCCCTTGTCCTTCGCACTAAGAGCAGCAGATTGGCCCCTAAAGAGGTGTGCGTGTTTGCCTGTGTTGGTGTTGCAGAATTAACAACCCTATGCTTGTCCATTTGTTTGAAAAAAAGGCATAAAATATCTCTGCAACTCTGTCCATAATAAAACAGCTATCGCAAAATACAGCTCCAGGGTTTTTATTGTTTCTTTGTGTTTGTCCTTTCGAAAAGCGGTTCCAACACAACAACTATACACTTTCCTCTTTGCCCAGATGATTCCAGCCTTTAAATACAGGTGTTTCCACAACATTTTTGCACTGTCTGATTCTCTGATCGGTGTTGGTGGATTCAACCGCTTTGTTAAGTTCTCCAAGATAACTACTGTCGTGATTTAGGGCTATACAAGAATACATTGAATTGAATTGAATTTCCACAGCCTGTTGTCAATTTCTCTTTGCTATTGAAGTTAATATCAAACATTTTCAGATTTGGACCAACCTCCCTCTCATGACCTTTCTTCATCCCATCCCAGTCGCTCGTCGCGGCCCCTCCCTGAATCCGTTCACACTCCCCCACTGTCCCAAAGCCGCTGGCCGTTTGATGCTCTGCTCTCTCACCGGCTGCGGACCACACGGGATGCCTCACATGCAGATGAAACGCGGAATTAGCTTTGAACACCCGAGCCGCGTTAGCTAACCTGGAGCTATTATGCGTACTCGCTAAAAGATCAGTAGCCGTTTCCCTTTCTTCGCTCTTACGGAGCCGAGCGTTGCGTTACACAGTGGCAGATTGTTGATGTCGCTCTAACCCCGCGCCCCCGTCACCAGGCAAAAAACATAATCTTGACAGGTGCAGAGGAAATTTTAGAAGTGAACTGAATGCGTGTCTGCGGTGTATGAAGAATCAGAAATGGGATACAGTTTGAATAGATGGTTTTTCTCATGTCGACCCCATCAGACTCCTTCTAAGTGTTTTTCACACATGTTAAAAATGCATACATGTACATACGGTAGAAACCAAACAGGAAAAGGTCCGAGCCTCTCTGACTTAACTTTGAAATCCTTTATTCTTGTTGTTGTTATGTCCCTTCAACAATAAAGGATTTTCAAATTAAGTGTTGGACCTTTTCCTGTTTGCTTTCTACTTCATTTTCCGTCGGATCCTTGAAGAGTACCTGACCACTCACCTTTACTTTTATTTTTTGATCCCCGTATGCACTCACTCTTTATATGTTTTTGCATGCATATTGTAGTTTCTCCAGCGTGTTTTCGGAAAGGCATCTGAAATCCCCCAGACATGAAAGTGTGTGAGCAGTCTGGGCTGCTTAGACTGCTGTCACCTCAACCTGGCAATGGACAAAGCAGAAGATAATGGTTGGATGTTGTCAAGGATTAGCCCGATTACTCAGTTTGCAGTAAGGACAGTCCAATGGAAGGATCAGTTTGTCATTGATGTGATTGTGTGGTGTACAGTATATCAGCCAACATTTCCAGTGTCATTTTAATAGTCCATTACCTTCTATCAAACACTACCCATGAAATCGGCTGCTTAAGACAGAGATCAAGACCCACTCATTTTCATTTTCAAAATCACAGGGTTCTGATTGGTCAGGCCATAACCAAGACTCCAGTGTGAAAGCGAGAGCGAGCCTTTGTGTTGTCTTCGGCATATGTTATATCTGTGAGCTAGGATGGATTATCTCGGCAAAGGAGAAGTGCTCTCACACAGATCAATCAGAGCAAACCCAGAATTTCTTTTAGATTTTTATCAATAATTAAAGATGCAAAGTTCTCTTCCAGTGCTCTGAAGGAAGGTGGGACTGGAGGAGGTAATATAGTTAATAAGGTGCCATTCTATTAAGAATTTTTAAACTAAAATCTAAAATATACATGGAGCCAGTGCAGGGATCAAAGAATCTGAGCGACGTGGTCTCTGCACTTTTTCCCTTAACGGTTGGGCCGCTGTTCTCCTCTCCCTGAAGGCAACTAAGCTGAGCCTGGTCAATGGCAGCATAAAGGGAGTTACAGCAGTCAAGCCTGGAGGAGATTAAACATGAATGGCCTTCTCAAAATGGGTGTGTGGAATATAAGGTTGTGAATATAAGACCCAGCTTGAAGATGCTCTGTTCAGAACCAAAAATCAGTATAGCACACTTTATTATAAGGAGGTATTTGATGGAAAATTCTTTGGAGAAATCAGGAATGCGCTGCCCTTTCATGTATTATTATTTTTTTATCTTATTTGATTGCCTTACTTTTAATTGTGTTATTGTTTCAATGTTGTTTGTGTAAACATCACTTAATATTATTGTATTCACTTAACTGTTAACAGGGTTATATCACTGTATTATTCCATATGAAGATGTCTGGATATATTATGCCTTTGAGAAAATGTAAAGTGATTGTCTTTTTGCATTTAAAATAATAAAAACATAAAGAAAAACATGATAAAAACTGTTACAACATCCCACCTCTTTTAACAACTATAACCAGGAGTGTTGAGATTCATACACTAATATACTATTTGCCCATGTAAACCTACAGGAATTGATCTACAATAATTGGACTTCTCATCCTTGACCTTTTTACATCATAACAGCTTGGTCATCCTGTTTTCCTCAAGAAATCAACTAGACAAAATTCCACGTCTCAGCTTCCTGTGGAGAAAACCCAGACAACATGTACAGATAGCAGTTAGACTTTCCTCTGTCTGACATGGGCCTGCCCGCTGCTATTGCAATTCAATACCAGACTAAACAGCAACAAGGGATCTCCCACAGAGCAGGCCGACCGCACCGCCACAGCTCTCATCGATGGCATCAATGAAACCGCTCCGATACAGCATGTTCTTGACCGAAACACCAACAAAGTGTCCCAACCGCTGCCTCACATCTGCCCACGCCAACATCCTCGCTCCCAGGGGACAGGGCCATAGCTGCAGCCGCCCATCTCTGCAACATTACAGCTGAAAACCTGTTATTATGGCCATTTTCTTGTTGTTTAATTTTGTCCTATTGTTTGGTCTATTATTGGTGAGAACACATTTTTGGCTGCATTTATTTATTTTATGGAATAGGAGGTTTTTGTTTCGGTGCATTGCCTTGAATACCCACTTAGGGAAACACCTCAGGGAGTGGGGTAAGCCTGGGTATACACTGTATGCCAACAGTTTTAGACTTTGTTTCTGAAATAATTTAGTTTTTTTGGTGATTAATGGTGTTCTGTGGAATGTGGACGAAAGATTCCCAAGAACTAAACTGTAACCCATGGAAAAAAATCTTCATTTGTTTGGACATCACATACCTGCACGTCAATTAGAAGCTACAAAAGTGACTACAGCAGTGTGTTTTTGTCACTTCACTTTGAATCATCTTCTTTCATAGCATCAATTGTTTTCCTTCTCTTTTTTTGATTCATTATCTATTGTGTTGCGCTGCATGGAGAAGTGACAATTGTTACAAAACAGGGAACACATGCACCAGCGTTTTCCGGTTTTTTTCCCCTCTCCTAGGAGCTCCCTCCCATGGGTCCATCCTTCCAACACAAGTACACACACGCAAAAATAGTACATATACCATACTAAAAGAAAAGAAAATTGTATTGAAACGTATTTTTTTGTCTATTGTGTTGTGCACAAATATTCCAGTGTGGTTTTTAACTGTAAATGGCAAAAAAAAACCTTCCCTGAATCAAAGTTGCTCTCCCATTTTAGCACATCCTATGTTATTTTGGTAGAATCAGTACGTGAATATCATGACGGATCATGTGTTACGGTGGGTGTGGCCTTTCTTCCCGCAGACTCGGGCTTTGTCACTTTTTAATGCTTTCTCATTGATTGTTTAAATGTTGTTGTCAATCAATAAAAGTGGTATGGTGACATCACTTGCCCTCTGACCTCACGCATTTCCTGGTCCATATTTTGGTGCTCAGGTGTGGGTCGTAACATGGTATGTTTGTGAGATGTTTTTAATTATATAGTCCCCTCGAATTGCCACAGGGAAGATGAGTGTAACTATTGATGCCCTGTGTAATTAAAAATGAATCCGGGGCAACTGCAAACAAAGTGGAGATAATCTGGAAGCAGCAGAGAGGGTGCCAACAGAACCGCCCAACTTAACATTATGCATATTCAAAGAAGAAAGAAACCATGGAAAAGCTTTATTGGAGTGTCTTTGAGTATAACATATAATAATCTACAAGTATAATACAGTCATAAATCTATACTTCAACCCGTCCAATCTGTCTGAGAGCTCTGTTTTCAAACTTTTAACACTATACAATAAATCATCAGGCAAACAGTGTCATGGGCAGATCTGTTTTCTGCTGTATTTCCTCTATTTTTTTTTACCATTTCCATGCCTTCAGTTATACTGTGACATTTTTCATATTAAAGAATTAAGATATTTGTTATCTGTTATCTGTTGTGCGGTCCTCTTTATTGATGTGTACTTGTTCTAGTATCATTTGATCATATTTGTTTGTATTTTATTGTTTCATATTTGTTGCTTTTATTTTGTAATTGTATTGTTTTTTTGTGTGAATTCAAATCCCTATTTTTTTATATAAATTAATTGGACAGTTGCTGAGATTTTAATTTTTATTATATGATCATTTAAATATGAATTACTATGGGTTAAAATTAGGTGGATTGGATTGAAACACATTACAAACAAACTCACACAATCCAACGCCCAAAATTAACACAACAATAATTCATAATATTCTCTCTTTAAAGAGCTTCACAAATTGTCATCTTGTGGCTGTTTGCATCAATACTAATATGTGTGGTTTTGCAATGTTGAGTGGAGCACAGGAAATGCTGAGAGGGAACTGTGTGTATAGTTCAAGACCTTTACAAAAGTGGGACAGGGTAGTGTTCAGAAGAGCGCGTTAAGAGGATGTGAAAACAGAAACGTGTCAGTCGTAACGAGGAGAGGAAACACTTTTAGTCCAGTCTCAGCACAGTTCACCTCGAGGGGCAAAGAAAGGACAGCAAAGTGCAAAGTGTTAAAAAAAAGAATTGATGGACTCGACGGACTAGAACCAGGAAGTACTACCACATTAGTCCAGTTCTCAAGTCTCTGCACTGGCTTCCTGTGACTCAGAATAGACTTTAAAGCATGAACCAACTCAGACTCTGAGGAGCACAGGGACTGGCCTCCTGCTGGGACTCTGAGGAGCACAGGGACTGGCCTCCTGCTGGGACTCTGAGGAGCACAGGGACCGGCCTCCTGTTGATGCCCAGAGTCAAGACCAAACATGGAGAAGCAGCATTTAATATTTATGCTGCTAAAATCGACAGTGGCTCATTTGGTAGAGCATTGACCTTTGAGCCTGAAGGTCGTGAGTTCGAGCCCACCGTGAGATCTCATTGATGTCTGCTGCCGTTGTGTCCTTGGGAAAGACACATAACTCCACTTTGCCTGAAGCCCCCACTGAAAGAATAATTAGGCTCCTTTGGACTCACCACCTACAGGAAGATCAGCGAGGGGCTGGTGCTACGTGTACTGGGTGCAGCTCTGACTGCCACCTCAGACCCAGAAATGGATTAAGGGGAAGAAAATGGATGGATGGATGGATATCTGTTAAAATCTGGAACAAAACAAAAAATCCTTTAATACAGCTCAAGACACACACACAGACAAACATATACTGTACATGTGCAAAAACACAAACACACACATGTGTTGTTCATCAAAACAAACTCTCAAACAAGTTATTTCAAAATCAACAGATGAGCTTGTGCTCAGCTTTTATTGCATGTCCAACAAACATCTGTTATCACAGGAAGTGCTCTCTTACTTAGTGCTCTCTGACTGACATCCACTGACTTGACTCACTAGGGACACCACCAGGCTGGTAAAATGCATGACACTGAATGCATATCAAGACATCTCCCTTTCTTTAAAGTCAGAATCCTTACACAATGCAAATAATAAAACATTGTAAACATGTTATTTAGCTTAGCTCACTGTTACTTTTTTTTTTATATCACCAAGTGCAAAAACAGATTTTTTTTTTTTAAGATTGTTTTTTTCTTTTTAAGTGATGACCAGTGATCACACGGAAAAACAATAAAAACAACAGAATGTGGTTAACACATTCACAACATCAGTCTATCAGGCTTCTTAGTCTGACGTCCAGACCTTCTCAGAACTGGTGCTGAAGATGCCTCTTCTTCAGTAGATTCCTTTACAGGTATTGTGTCAGTTGGAATAGACACAGCATGTTCATCTTCAACATCACAACTGGACTCTTGGAAGTGTTCCTTGGTCTTCAGTAGGTGACGACGATTCCTTCTGAGAACGCTTCCATCCTCAGTCCTCACTTCATACGACCTTAGACCAACTTCCTGAAGAACTGTTGCTTTTCGATTCCAGGCATCTTGGTCTCGAATTCTCACAACATCCTCCTTTGCAAGAGTCGAGAGAGGTTTGGTCGATCTGTCAAAGTAATGTTTTTGTTTTAATTTGAGCTTGTCCATTTTTGAGTGTACCTCAGTACGTTCTCTCATCTCTGTGTAGCTGGGTAGAGTTGTGCGCAACTTCCGATTCATCAACAGCTCAGCAGGAGATAAACCACACTCAAGAGAAGAGGATCTGTAACTCAAGAGAGCAAGATAGGGATCTGATTTGCTGTCCGTGGCCTTTCTCAAAAGCTGTTTGACGATATGCACCCCTTTCTCAGCTTTTCCGTTTGCTTGGGGATGCTGAGGACTGGAGGTCACATGATTAAATCCATACAGTCTAGAAAACTGCTGCCATTCCTTGCAGTTGTAACATGGTCCATTGTCACTTACTACAGTCTCTGGGATTCCGTGTCGGGCAAAAAAGATTTAACATGTGTAATGACACTTGATGCTGTTGTACTTGTGAGCAAGGCAATTTCAGGATAGTTGGAGTAAAAGTCAATAACTAACAGATAGTCTTTCCCATTATGGTGAAATAGATCAGTTCCTACTTTCTCCCATGGAGCTGCGGGAAGATTTGGAATCAACATAGGCTCCCTTGCCTGTTTGCTCTGGTACTTCTGACAAGTTTCACATTTTCCAATCATATCTTCAATGTTTTTATTAATGCCAGGCCAATAGACTGTATCTCTGGCTCGTCTCTTACATTTTTCGACTCCCAAGTGCCCCTCATGTATTCTCTGTAGAATTTCATTTCTTAAACTCTGAGGAACCACTATCCTTTTTCCCCTTAGCAATAGTCCATTTGCCACACTGAGCTCTGATCTAAAGTTGTAATATTTTGGACAAGACCCTCTGGGCCAACCACTTTGAATGTGAGAAACAACTGTTTGCAGTTCTGTGTCTCTCATTGTTTCTTCACATATTTGTTTTGATTTTGAATCAGACACTGGTAGGGACCCAACTACCATGTTCACGTGTTCCTCTACCTCTTTCTCTGTGGAACTTGTCTGATTCAGTTCTGTCGCTCGTGACAGCGCGTCTGCCAACACCAAATGTTTGCCTGGTGTATAGATTAATTCAAAGTCATACCTCTGTAGTTTCATGATAAGACGTTGAATTCTGGGTGACATTTCATTCAGGCTCTTCTTAATTATGGACACAAGCGGACGGTGGTCTGTCTCAACTGTAAAAAGTAGTAAGGCCATACACATAACAATGAAACTTTTCAAGTCCAAAAGCCAACCCAAGACATTCCTTCTCAATTTGAGCATACTTCATCTCTGTTTTTGTCATGGATCTAGATGCATATGCTATTGGTCTCCAGCTCTCACCTTCTGCTTGGAGCAAGACAGCACCAAGTCCATCCTTTGATGCATCAGTGGAAACTTTCTGTCTTTTCGTGGAATCATAGTAAGCAAGCACAGGTGCAGTAGTTAGAGTGGTTTTGAGCACGTTCCACTCACGCTCATGTCTTGTGGTCCACTTAAACATTGTTG